CTCAGGCGGTGCCACATGGAGCCTCAGCTCGGCGTGATTTCACAAAGGTGCTGACAGAGGCACAGTCCACTCCTCTCAGGAATAAATCTCTCCTCGTGTGAGGCTGGAGCGGGTGTGTGGAGAGAGAGGAAGCTTAGTGGGTGCCAGGTGGGTCTGGGAGTGTGGGGTCAGTGCCAGCCAGTGCATCTGCTTGGCTGAGCTTTGAAGACTGGGTCTCCAGTGCCTCTGCTCTGCCTCAGGGGCTTGCATGGGGCCAATGAGATGGTGCAGGTACAGCACACAGCCCAGTCCAACCGTCTTTTTATTGTTTTGTTTTTCCGTTTGTTTTTTGTTTGTTTGTTTGTTTGTTTGTTTGTTTTGCCACAGGGTGTGTGGACTCACTGAAGAGAGACAGAGAGACAGTAAGAGGAAAAGTGAGAAATCACCCCCTAGAGGGGATGGACACCTCAAAATCCTTTCTCCTCCATTCTCCTCCTGGGATATTGGGCGCACACACGTGCCCGGTGTGATTTTCAAGCTGCTGACTCCAGGACTCAAACCACGGTCTGTCATGCAGGAGTTCAGCGCCTTAACTACCACATGACCTGCTGGCCCCAACCTGCTTTTTTCTTTTTTCTTTTCTTTTTTTTTTTTTTTAATTTACCATAGAGCACATGCGCTCACTGGAGAGAAACAAAGAGAGGCAGAAGTGAGAAAGCATCTCCCAGGGAAGATGGTCATGCCACATTCCCTTCTCCTCTTAGGATTTTGGGTTTGCGCACACATGGGCCCAGCGTGTCTCTCAAGCCACTGGGTTGGAACTTGAATCGTGCCATCGGCAATGTGGGATCTAGCCGCCTTAACCGTTATACCACCTGGTTGGCCCCCAACCTGTTGTTTAATCCTACAGGTGCTAATCAGAGGTGGCATTGAGAAATTCAGTGATTGCCAATAGTAGTCTTAGCATGGGGCCGGCTTCAGGCAAGACTGGGACACTGAGCCACCCTAGAGAGTGGGGGGCTAAGAGGACAGTAAAGAGACCAGTTTCACCAGTGACTCAGCCACTGTGGGCCTGACCACCAGCTTCTTGTTTTCCTCTCTTGCATTTATAACCAGTATATGCCACGTCTCCAGGTAACAAAAGTTTCACACCCACCCCCTGATTCGACCCTACAACAATGCCCATGCACTGGGGAGCCTGGGCCCCATCCTGTGTGATGATTTGCCTCAGGGAGTTTGCCATAATGGAGGGCCTGCTGGCTTTGGTGCAGTGGGCCTCCTGGTGGCTAGCTATCCCTGTCCCCTCCTCCAGGGGTTGTCTGTTCTGCTGCCTGAGTTGCCTTGGAAGGATGTTCCAAGTCTCCCTGGCACCCCCAGGCCTCTTTCCGATTTAGTCACTCTACAAACATTTCCTGACACTGCCCTGCTAGCCCTGTGCTGGGATCTGGGGACATGGAGCTAGATCAGGTGTGGTCCATGCCCTGGAGGGGCTGCCAGCCTCAAGGAGAGGGGAGGGTGGCAGAGAGTCGGGGACGACTGCAAATGAGATGTTGGCAATGAAGCGTGACTGAAGTCCAGGGCAGAGGACGGGTTCCTGATGCATTGGGCAGGCAGGCCCCTAACCCTCTGCTCCCCCTCAGCAGTGCTCTGGGACTCAGCTTTGCAATTTTACAAGTTTGGAGTGGCAACTTGTTTACAGGAGACCTGGTGTGGAACTCCAGCCTCGAGGGTGTCTGTCTCCTGCATCACGCCCAGCACCCAAGCCACCTCCCAGACCAGGGGAGGTCCCTCAGGAAAGGGGGTGCACCGAAGAGCACTATAGAGGGTCTTGGGGAATCAGATTGATCCTGGCTGATCAGCCCTGCCTACTCTCCACCCCACCGTGCCCCACCGCTGCATGTCACCCATCTCCAAGTTCTGTCTGTAAAATGGAGTTCTCCCTGCACCTTGCCTTCGCAGCTTCTGCTGTTGAGCCCTTGCCCCTTCCTATTCCTGCTCCATCTCATCAGAAACTTGCTTTCCACAGCAGGAGTGGTCCTGTCTCCTTTTTAGTTTTATAGGATCCAGACCTCACAACCGGAATCCTTTTACAACACAGAAAGGGTGACACGGGAGCTCAGGCACTCTCGCTAACTTCCCTGTGTCGGAAAGACCTGAGGTCTGGTAAACTGCGTCTTTGTCCTTTGACTGCCTGGAGGGCCTGTGCCAATGCGTCGTTCTCTCTCTCTGGTGCTTCAGGCTTTATCCGTAGTGGTGGGGAAGTGGGATTAATGTTTCACTGCCCTGAACCCCTGGGAGCGGGTTTCTGATACTGAGACTTGCTTATCAGTTTACCTAACCTCTTGTGCATCTAAAGAAATGTATTCAGAGATAAAGATCACGGAGCACTGGGAACCAGCAGTTAGCGTAATGGCTATGTCGCTGGACTCCCACGTAGTCGACCGCGGTTTGCGTCCCGGACCCGGTGGCTTAAAACTCATGCCGGGCGCATGTGCGTGCGTGCCCAAGATCCTGAGAGGAGAATGGAGGAGAAAGGATTGTGGCGTGACCATCCCCCCTGGGGGGCGATTTCTCGCTTTCTGTCTCTATGTCTCTCTCTGCCTGTCTGGTGAGCGCATGCACCCTGTAGCGAAAAAAACCTCTCCAAAACAAAATAATTTAAAAAAAGATCACGGAGCACCCACCCTGCCAGGCCTCACACTGGGGCTAGGAGTTGCAAAAAGGATAGGTGATGGCATCTAGTCTTGAACCAATCGTAGTCCTTCAAAGATGATTGACAATAGATGGACAATTCAAATTGTCCAGGATGGTGAGTGTTGGATGCAGGAAAGCATGAGCCATGAGAAGTCAGAGGAATCTATACCAGTGAGTAGATGGTAGTCAGGGAAAGCTCCTTGGAGGAGGTGACACCTGGGCTGAGCCTTGAAAGGTGCACGGGGATTTGCCAGGTGGAGTAAAAGGAAAAAGCACAAAAGGTAGCATGTGCAAAGGCCCCTGGACAGATGTGTTGGGTCATAGGTGGCTCTGCTGGAACGTGGTGAGTGTGTGTGTGAGTGAGTGATGGGGAAGCTGAAGGAAATGGCCTGGCAAGAGATGAAGCCAGACAGGCTGGATCATGAAGGGGGCCTTGTATGTCATGCTAAGGAGCTTGGATTTTATCCCAAAAGCCATGGGGAACTATTGAAAGGGGTTTTAAGCAGGAGAGCGCCATGATCAGATTTGTGCGTTAGGAGGATCACCCTGGCCGCCTTGTGGAAGATGGATTGGAGGGGCCAAAGCTGGAGTCAGAGAGATCAGTCAGGATTTCTTGGGATTTTCTCTGTGGTTTTACAAATCTGACGAGGCTGGCTGGGGTGGGCCTGGCAGACACACCAGCTTAGAGAGAAATAAAAGCTCTGGAGACGGGTCTGAAATGGCTTCCCGACTAAGGGTTTAAATTCCACCTTCCTTTGCCGATTACTGGGCCTGCTGCCCCTCCTCGGCAGAAAGGACCAGCCATTTTGACCCATATGCCCTCCCCGGAGGCCTCAGCATTTGATCCTAATGGGCCATGCTGCCCTGGGCCCTTTGGATCTTTGTCCCGAGCCTCAGCCTCTGGGGCCCTGGAATGTTAGCCCCCCAGAGCCCAAACATTGTCTTTCCTGTCACACCCGGCTGCTCATCCCCGGTGCACAGAGCAGCCATTGAGTGCCTGCATGGGCCTGGCAGGGGTCCCGGGCCCCGTTAGTTATGGGCAGTGGCTTAGTCACGCTTCTAGGGCCCTTTCTTCTGGGACAAGGCTGTCCTTGTGCTGAGGGCTTTCCTCACACAGCAGCCCAGTTCGCGGCAGCTGCAGAACCCTCTGCCAACCCTAACAGTGCACTTCAGAGAGACCGCCAACGGGAGCCACAGCCCAGAGAAAGCCGAGCCCTGGGGAGTGGAGGGCACCCGGGGAGGGCTGCTCAGAGAACTGCCCACCTTGCCTTCCCCATGCCAGGTGCCCCTGCCTGTGTCCACAGGTGCACGGCCCAGGTGCACTCTCCTAGTCCTTTGGCTCTGGCCTCTCAAGTACAGTCCCTTCCCCATGTCCTCTCCTCTGTGAAAGCAGACAACCAACCTCCTTTGGAAACACAGCTCTTAGTCCCAGCGTACCCAGGAGGGTCTTGAGCACCTGCCGTAGACTTCGGCCCGGGCCAGGTGAGCATGCACACAGTGGTGTCTCAGTACAGGCCAGGCTGTGCAGGAGATGAAAGTACAGACTCAGGGACCAGCAGTTGGCATAATGGCTATGTCGCTGGTGTCCCATGTAGTCAACCGCGGTTCAAGCCCAGGACCCGGTGGCTTAAACTCATGCTGAGCACGTGTGTGAGCGTGCCCAAGATCCCGAGAGGAGAATGGAGGAGAAGGGATTGTGGTGTGGCCATCCCCCATAGGGGGTGATTTCCTGCTTTCTGTCTCTCTGTCTCTCTCTGTCTTTCTGGCAAGCCCATGCGCCCTATAGCAAAAACCTCTCCAAAAATAATAATAATAATACAGGCTCTAAATACAGACTGTTCAAAACCTTGACTTTTCTATTTTACCAATTGCATGAACAGTAATTTAGGAAAATTACTTTGCCTCCATGTGCCAGTTTCCTTATCTGCAGAGTGGGGATATTGCAGTATGTCCCTCATTGGCTCGATGTGACGGTTAAGTGAGATAATACATGAAGCGACTGGCTGAGGGTCTGGCACAGAGGAGGGACTCAGTCCAAGCTGCTGCGCCCCTTTGTGGCTACTGCTATCATCTTTGGAGCTGCACTACTACTCCGGGGAGAGGTCTTATCCCATTTCTAGATGAGGAAGCTGAGGCCCAGCAAAGTGAAGCAGTCTGCCTGATGTCACACAGCTGGCCATAGACCCAGCTGGGATTTGAACAGCTCTCTGTACAGTGCTCCTGTAACCCAGCTGCTCAAGCATGGGGTTAGGGGTGCCCTGGCCCTGGAGAGTGGGGATCGGGGGAGCCTCCTATTACATCTGAGTGTTCTTCCTTCACTTTTCCAGATTTCTAAGCCAAGAGATGAGGGTCAGACATGGCAAAGTTCATGACACCTGGACAGAGGCTGCAGCTGCAGGGCCTGGTGGCCGCTGGAGATAAATGATGGTGGCTGGAAACCGGGCAGGAACAGTAACCCTGGAAGTCAAAATGCAAGGATGACACCTCCGGAGGCCCCGGCCTCGCCCCCCCCAGCGCGCTAGGAGCCGTCCCAGGGCTCCAGCTGGGAGCCCTGCCGCCCAGGGGCATGGCCAAACCTTTCTTCCGACTCCAGAAGTTTCTCCGCCGAACGCAGTTCCTGCTGTTCTTCCTCACGGCCGCCTACCTGATGACCGGCAGCCTGCTGCTGCTGCAGCGGGCCCGAGTGGCCCTCCCCCAGGGCCCGCGGGCGCCCGGCCCCCTACAGGCACTGCCGGTGGCCGCCGTGGCGCTGGGCGTCGGCCTGCTGGACAGCAGAGCCCTCCAGGACCCCCGCGTCAGCCCAGAGCTGCTGCTCGGCGTGGACATGCTGCGGAGTCCCCTGACTCGGCCCCGGCCCGGACCCCGTTGGCTTCGGAGCCGCAACTCCGAACTACGCCAGCTGCGGCGCCGCTGGTTCCATCACTTCATGAGTGACCCCCAAGGGCCGCCCGCCCTAGGCCCTGAGGCCCCCAGGCCAGCCGCGCACAGCCGAGGTAGGTGCTGAACTGCGTATGTGGGAGCTGCCCCTGAGCCCTGCTCAGGGCCGGGTTCGCATCAGCCATGAAGGCTGGAGGAGTAGTCCTACCTGACCTTCCCAGAGTGTTTGTCTCTTCTGCTCTGCAGGGGACAGCAAGGCCTGTGATGCCGTGTCCTTGGAGTTTTACTCACCAGCTGCAATTCCACATGGCCCAAGGCCAGATGTGCGAGCTCCGGCTTTGAGTTCAGACAGCCCTCAGCTTGAATCCTGGCTGCTACAAGGTCACTTGTTGAGTGACCTTGAGCACGGCACTTAACTTCTCCGGGTCACTCTGATGAACCCACCCCAGGGTGGGTGTGAAGATGAAGTGCTCTAGTATAGGATAGGGGCTTGTGGGGTGTGCCCCGGACCAGCAGCAGCAGCAGCGGCTGGGAGCATGGCTCTCCCCGACTTACAGGATCAGGAATTCTGGGGCTGGGTAGCGGCGTGTGTATGGTCCCTCTCCAGGTGATGCGTACATGAGCTGACAGTCACGAGCAGAGAGTGGCATCTGGCAGGCAGCTATTGCATAAAAGTAGCTAATCATGGACCAGCAGTTAGCGTAATGGCTATGTTGCTGGACTCCCACGTAGTCGACCGCGGTTCACGTCCTGGACCTGGTGGCTTAAAACTCACACCGGGCACGTGTGCGTGCGTGTCCAAGATCCCGGGAGGAGAACGGAGGAGAAGGGATTATGGCGTGGCCATCCGCCCTAGGGGGTGATTTCTCGCTTTCTGTCTCTCTGTCTCTCTCTGCCTGTCTGGCAAGCACACACGCTCTATAGCAAAAACCTCTCAAAAAAAAAAAAAAAAGTAGCTACTCAGTATTTCCTCTTCACCTGTAAATCCGTGGTTTATCTGTACTATCAGGTGGTTGGAAAAGTCGTGACATCTTTTTTCTGTTTTTCTGTGCAAAAATATGTCATGACTTTTCTGACCCCCCCAGTAATACTGTACCCCAGTTTTGCAGGTGAACAGAAACTGAGGCATGGAGAAGTTGAGTAAGTCACCAAAGTCACTCTCTTAGTTTGGGTTCCCTAGGAGCAAACCCTAAAACCAGGATCCGAATGCATTCCGTATATTTGGGATGTGATCCCAGGAAACTGGTAGGGGAGCAGGAAGGGAAGGGAAGGCGGCCAATGGAGGGGCCTTATCGAGCCGTCCCATTAGGCAGCCGGACCTTAATCCATCTGGGGACACCGAACCAGAGTAGAACACAAATCTCAGCATGCAGCCTAGACGCAGCGGGCCTGGGAGACGTTGAGGGACACCATAGTGCCCACCATCGTCACATGCTGGGACATCCGCATGGGGGTAGTCTGGCTCTGGTTGGAGTCGTCACCTGGAGTTAGGAGACTCTGCTTGCTGAGCGCCTAGTAAGTGTCATGTGCCAGCCTCATTACCTTCTCAGCGTTCCTATCACCATCTCGTTTGGTTCTGGACCCCGAGTCCCAAGAGGAACTGCTCTCTTGACTGCGAGAAGTGTGATTTGAGCATCGAGGACTAAGTGGCAGAAGTAGAAGTACACGAGACAAGTGGGGACTTTGGCCCAGGTTCGGGAGGACCATGATGCCAGGACTAGGAGTTGAGCTTTATTCCAGGATAATGAGAAGGTTCTAGGGAGGGTAAAGGAGCCCACACTGCCTGGCCTTAGGGAGATGACTCTGGTAGCACAATGGGGTGAAGACCAGGAGACTGCATGCTCTTGTCTCCATAAAAGGAAGTTTCTCCAGGAATCATCTAGATCATAGCCCTCACTGAGCCCTTGCCTAGTCTGGCTGGCATCTAAGAAGGGAGGAATGAGGAACTGATGTTGCAGCTCATTTTGTATCATTTCCATAAACTCTCCCCAACACACCAAGAAACTGGATTTCTATGTAGGTTTCACCAGTGGAACTTATTTAAACTAAAGTGTAAATGACCAACAAAACCCACTATGGATTTTTTCTTTCTCTTTTTTTTTCTTTTTTTTTTTTTTTTTTTTTTTTTTGAGAGATTTTTGCCATAGGTACTCACCAGAGAGACGGAGGATCAGAAAGTGAGAAATCAACCCCAGAGGGGATGGCCACCACTCCTCAATCCCTTCTCCTCCATTCTGTTCTCAGGATTCTGGTCACACACGCACATGTGCCCAGTGTGTTTCAAGCTGCTGGGTCTGGGACTTGAACAATGGTCAGCTTAAGTGGGAGTCCAGTGCCTTAACCACTCCACCACCTGCTGGCCCCTAGCATGGATTTCTTCAGAGGAAGCTATATAAAGACAAGTTCTGAAAATAGACCTGGGTTCCTTTCCTCTCTTGGTATTGCTGTTTATTAACTCTGAGACCTTGGGCAAATTGACCTCAGTTCCTTTGTTCCTCTCTCTCAACTCCCACTTACCAAGGTCTCGTTGCTTGCGTTCCTGGGTGTGCTCTTCACGGTGCCCTCAAGGAGCTTGGTCTGGTGGTGGAATCAGACATGCACCCAGATGATTACCGCACAGCCTGGTGGACATGCATTAGTGGCGTGTGCAGAGAGTATGGGAACTCATTAGACAGAAGTGGCCTGCAAAAGGCAGGGCTCAGGGCTTGCGCATGGGGTCTGAGTGTCCAAGAGAACCGGTGAGCACCGCTTTCCTTTACCTTCCAGTGCCTCAAAGAAGTGATGGAAGGAACTCCAGTTAGAGCTGGGACCACTCCAGCTGGAGAGATTGCAGTAGATATAAGCAGGACTGATATTTGAGTTATACGCCAGTATAGCTGTGTCAGTTGTTAAAATATTGAAACACTTCCATACCTGTTGATAAGCTATTACTGCTCTGAGCCTCTGGGGTGCCCTCCCCAGTGACCTGAAAACCCTCTATTACTTAGAAAGGAAAGGACTAACACCTGGTACAGCAGCTGAGTAGTGGCAATTTTGAATGGTCAGGACTCCCCCATAGATTATCACATATTTTGACTATGTCCCCAAATTTAATGACAGACTTGCTCTTCCAGGAGATGAAAACAAAGCCTGGGGGAGGCTGTGTCATCACAAGGCCCAAGATTGTCAGAGAGAGCAAGGGGAGGCAGGGCACCGCCCTGAAAGCCTTCTGGGAGCTCCTTTCCCTCCTGAGACTCTGTGGGTTCTGCATAGCCAGGCGGCCTCCCTGGTGGAGAGTAGCCCACAGCTCAGCCCTCAGGACAGCTGCGGGGGCCACAGACAAAGCAGGCACCTCTTCGCGGCCCCGGGCAGCCCGCCATCCTCCTGAAAGGGGATCCTGCGAGCTGCGGAAGCTGCAGGAGGCACCATCAATCACTGAGCATTTCATTATACCTTGGACAACATCCATAATGGAATAAAATGTCAGTAAGTTTACTAGGGGAAAAATAGTAACTTCTCCATAGCCAGTTTGTTTTTTATTGATAGTAATTTCCAAAGACATTCCAATATCTCCAAAGCCATCGTTAATAGCCTCACGGCCTGTCCATTTTGATGTGCAAATGAACAGATGCGGAGTCACAGACAATAATGCATCGCTTCCATTTCAGCCGAAAGTAATAAATCCGCCCCAGAATGTGGCCCTGCGTCTCCGACGGAAGTTCTTTCTTTTCTGCACATTCTCGCCTCTGTCAGGGAGTTAGAAAAGCCATTCGTTATTCTTCCAGAAAAAAGAAAGCTCCCCTCCTCCTCGCCCACCAAAGCAGCCGTCTGCCTCTGAAGCCTTTGCTACTTACTGAGATGGACCCAGCCAGGCGTGGGCTTCCCCTCAGTGAAATGCCCAGCTGGTCACTGGCTAGCTACTCTCTGTTTCCAGAAGAGCTGAGCCTGACTGCTTGGAAGTAGGTTTTTTCCCCCTCTCTTTGAGTAATGTGTTCATTATTCAGCTAGTATTTACTGATCCATCCGCACAGTGGGTCTTAGGTTAGAATGTTGGATCAGAATAATAATCGCTGTTACTTATTTGAACATCTGGTATGTGCCGAGCATTGTTTTGTATAGATGTACATCTGTTATCTCATTTCATCTTCAGACAGCCTCATGATGTAAGCGGTGCTATCACCATTTTAATGATGAAGAATTTGCGTTTCAGGGAGGAAAGTAATTCGAAAATCTTCTCATTATTAATAATGATCTACTGGCAATAAACATCACCACTGAGCACTTACTGGGATGCTGCACACGTGTTAGTTAGCTGGTGGAATTTGCCCCATGGAATTGGCACCGTGTCCCCACTTTACAGATGGGGAAGGTGAGGCCCAGAGCAGGGAAGCGGCACTTCTCAGGTCTCACTGCCAGGTAGTAGAGCTCGGCTTTGAACCTTAGTTACCCATTCCCGAGAGCTGTTTCCACCCAGCCCCACAGAAATGTGTCCATGCCAGTCTCTGCCTTGGGGAAATGGCCTTGAGCCCAAGGACCCTTGAGGTTCATTTCCCATCTGTAGTGATTTATAGTTTAACAGTCCCGAGCTTGTGTTTTGAATATTTAATTGAAAGCTGTGATAGAATTTATTCTTTGCTGAGCAACACATCACAAATTTCTCAAGTATTCGTTTTCTCTAAGTAGGCAGGCAGAAGAGAAAAATCCATGGGCAATGACCAGGGAGGAAATGTGCTGGATGGTCTCAGTTGGTCGCAGCAGTCCTGAGGCTTACAGGAGGGAGCAGCTGGCAGGGCCCGGGTGTTAGGGTGGCAGTCCTCAGCACAGGGATGTAGCGTGTCTGTGGATGGCACACAGGGCGTGCCGTGTGTGCTGATGGACATCTGGGATGAAGGTAGCCTTGGGAGGCTCAGAGACCGGAAGGGGGCTAGAGTCTTCAGCAGGCATTGAAGGGGGTGGCTGTCACACCCTCAGCCCTCGTCTCCTGTGGTCTCCAGGTCCTTCGGGTCTTGGTGTAGTGGGAAGGCCAGGCTGCTGCCATTTGGTCACTTGCCTCTGCTTTGCCTCTCTTAAACTAGAACCCTAGAAATTGTACCTGGGTGCCGTCAGGGAGACTTTCTCCTCCTTGCATTTGGGCTGTCTGCACTTACCCTTGTGTCCTTCAGGGCAATATCAGCTGGGCTTGGGGACATGTAATCCACTTTTCACCATTAGGTGTTGATGTTGACATTGTGCCCCTAGGAGTTGTACCTGGGTGCCGTCAGGGAGACTTTCTCCTCCTTGCATTTGGGCTGTCTGCACTTACCCTTGTGTCCTTCAGGGCAATATCAGTTGGGCTTGGGGACAGTTGGGCTTGGGGACATGTTGGGTGTTGATGTTCACATTGTGCTTGACTCCGGTGAGTCACCCACTAGGGAGAAGATGTGACCTCTGCCCTTCAGGAGCCTTTGGTCATGCTGCACAGACAGGGCACACAGATATAAACGTGTGGATTTTTTAAAATAATTTTTTATTTTATTTTATTTATTATTAAATTTGCTATAGGGCATGTACATTTACCAGAGAGAGTCACACAGTGAAAGAGAGAGGGGAAGTGAGAAAGCAAGCCTTCAGGTCTGGGACTTGAACTGCGGTTGGCCATATAGGAATCCAGTGCTTTAGCCGCTATGCCACCTGCTGGCTCTGATATAAAGTTCGTTGGTTTTTTTTTAATCTTAGCCATTCTGACTAGGGTTAGATGGTATCTCACTGTGGTTTTAATTCGCATCCCCACTTATGGTAAAGGATGTTGAGCATTTTTTTCATATGCTTTTTGGCTGTTCATAGTGGGAGAAAATCACCCTAACTATTATGCCATCTACTGGTCCTATCGACATAAAAGATTTTTTTAAAGAATGATTTATTTATTTGATTTGATTTGCTATTATTTTTTAAAATGTGACCAGAGAACAACAGAGAGAGAGAAAGAGAAAGTGAGAAAGCAAGCTGCCAAGTCTGGGACTTGAACTGAGGTCAGCCACCACGCCTCCTGCCAGCCTGATATAAAAGATTTTTAACAACAGTTAACATCAAGGGTTTGGCTAACGTTTGTCAGGCTCAACATGGGAGAGTCCAGAAAGGGCAGGCTCAGTTACACAGTTGTGCTGTGTCTGCTCGAGCCAAACTGGGTCCATATGGAAGATCATGGGTTCGCATCCCTGGTCAGCCTGTACATGCTGGGTACATGTGCCCATGATCCTAGCTGACTAGAAGGGCTAGGAGGATCATGGCGTGAGACCCCCATGCAGGGCCCTTCTCTCTCTCTCTCTCTCTGTCTCTCACTCTCATGAAAGAAAGACTTTTTTTTTTTAATTATCTAAGTTCAAAATAATCCAGACAAAGGCGAAGTCATAAGAAGCCAAAGGTAGATGTGAAGAGAGAGCAGGGGCAGATCCAAACGTGGTTACGTGAGCCAGAGCAGGTGAGGCAGGGAGGGCGCGTCCTTCCGTTGACGGCTGAGGGAATGAAAGTACAGACAGCTGAAGTGATTCAGCCAAGGCCAGAGGAGGGGTGAAATGTGACATCGGCAGACGTTAAAGTCACTGCATGATACGGGCCCCAGAAATGGTTGGTTGGCAGACCCGTTCCTCCAAACTGCTGAGCAGAGAGACCTCTGAGCTGCTGCTTTGGACCGAGTTCTTGGCAGGAGTGAAAACAGGTCTTCCCCACCCTCAGGGGGCTCTGGACAGATAGAGTGTCAGGACTTCCCTCCTGACCAAAAGCCATCCTGGAGCCGACTGGGAGGCATCCAGGAGCCTGATGCGGAGGTTCTCAGGGAGGCTCGCAGTAGCTTTGTTTCAGGCTCCCCATGCAGATCCCAGCACAGTTCCTGTGGGTGTGCGTTCGCAGCGTGGGGACTGTGTGATGGCGTGTTTGCAAATTCCCAGCGTGCCGTTCCTTGAAAACACTGTGATGTGCGTGACGTGTACACGCCTGACGCTGCCTTTCCGTTGTGCTCGTGTTCTCCGAGCTTTGCTATGTGTCTGTGGGAGACATCTGCCTCCCTCAGGTGACAGGACAGGGCCACTGCAGACTCCTACAGACACGCGCATGGGTGGGTCAGCCTTGCCGCTGCTTCATGGAGTCATGTCCCCTAACAGGGATGTGCCCTTGGGATCAACAGATGGTGTAATGGTTACATCACTGGACTCCCACATGGCTGACCGCTGTTTGAGTCCTGAACTTGGAGGCTTGAAACTCAGGCCAGGCCTGTGTGCACGCACGCCCAAAATCCCAAGAGGAGAATGGAAGAGAAAGGACTGTGGCTTGGCCATCCGCCCCGGGGGTGATTTCTTGCTTTCTGTCTCAGTCTCCCTCTGTCCCTCCAGCAAGTGCACATACCCTATAGCAAAAATCTCAAAACAAAACAAAAACAGTGATGAACCGAGGTAACCGACTGGAGAGGGCATTGTGGTCATGTGGTCATATGGACCCCACACATGACACCTCTCTTGTACTCCAACAAACTGTTCCCCAGCAATGGGGCTGACTCTCTCCTTAAAATGGCTCTCCTCATTTGAGAGATCTTCCTCGTATTAGTTAATACTAGACTTTCTCTAGCTAATTTCTTTCCTCTGTCTCATAGGAGGCAACAGGGCTTGTCTCACAAGGTATTTGTGGAGTCAGAGAGGACTCTGTGAGCCTGGGAATGGCGGGGATTGTGGGGGCAGGGGTGAAATTAAGCCGTCCATATGCAGTGAGTTAAGAGTGGTGGGAGAAGGTGGTAGTCGGGCTGATGCAGGCTCCTGGCAGGGCTGTCGGGTGGACAGTGGGCCATTCACCAAGCAATGAGGCAAGAAATGAACAAGGTGGAGGTACCCAGGACTGAGGGGCATGTTGGACTGCAGCCCTCACTCCCTGGGCGTCTCCCCAGGTGCCATAGCCCAGAAGGGAGCGCTTCCCTTGGCATTCCTAAAGGCGAGTCCATGATGAGGACCCTTTGTTGTCTTCCTGGGGCTCTGATCTTAGCCATGTGTTCCTCCCTGTAGGCACGTATGTTGGATGCTTCAGTGACGATGGCCAGGAGAGGACGCTGAAGGGGGCTGTGTTTTATGACTTGAGAAAGATGACCGTCTCTCACTGCCAGGACGCGTGTGCTGAGTGGTAAGTGCTGGGGCCCTGCACTGTCGTCGGCTCTGCTGTAAGGTCAGGGGACGTCCCAGAATGAGGTGATCCCTCGATGGCCAGATAGTTGACTGCCATAGTGTAATTAGACCTTGATTGAACAAATCCCCATTGTCCAGAAGAAAGAACGTTCCTCGGCAGGTGGCCTGGGCCCTGGGCCAGTGACAGGAGAGCTGGCTTCCAGTCCAGCTGTATCAGGATGCTCTGTGCAAGTGCTTTTCCTTCCCTGTGCCTCAGTTTACTCGAATGCTTATAATACAATAAAGGGCTTTTAACTAGATTTCTCTTGCTCTCTCAGGAACAGTGTTGCTACCTTGTGTTTATAACGAACTTTTTTTCTAATGAGTTATTTAATTATATTATTATTATTATTATTATTATTAAATTTGCTATAGGGCATGTGTGCTTATCAGGGAGAGACAGAGAGAAAGTGAGAAAGAAGCTGCTGGCTCTGGGATTCGAACCACAGTCGGCCATGTGGGAGTGCAGCTCCTTAACCACTATGCTACCTGCTGGCTCCCCCCGATTTGCTTTTTATGCTACCACCAGCTTACTTGTTACTAGACACTTGTCGTGTGCCTACATTTTTGTAAACTGCAGAGGCAGACTGAGATTTCTAGCAATAGGTAGACCATCTGATATTCAGAAAATTCTCTAGGTAACAAGTGCTAGATAAAATTTTGCAAACATTATTTAAAATTCATAATGCACTAGCAGGAAGTCAAGGCAGTCACAGTTCACGTATGTACGTGTGTGCACACATGTGTCCATGTAGGGGACAGGTAAAGCAGCAGCAGTGACAGCACTTTGTTCTTTTCTGCCACCTTAGATCCTTTCCCATTTGTTTTGTCATGTGAAACCTCACCACCCTCTGAGAGGAAGCAATTCATTAGTCTCATTTTATAGATGGAGAAGCTGATGCTGGGGCAGGAAAGGCCAAGGTCCCTATGTACATGCCCTTTACAGTCTAGATGAAGCTGAAATTGTTTCCCAACAGTTAAGGAAACTGAGACTCCAAAGTAATAAGCAATCTTATGGTCACACAGCTAGTCAGTGGCCAAATGGGAACAAGAGCTTGTGTTTGTGTTTTTAATCTAGGCTTCTTACACCGAGATCTGCTGAGAAGGGAGTCTGACACTGTTGACCCCTTTCTATAGTTAAAATCTTGTGTGGTACATTATAGGTTCTGTTTTCACTCTTTCTTTACCTGGAGTATTACAACTGGGTAAAAGCAGAGAAATCGGTGTTGGTGGAGGAGGGGAGTCAAGCATCAGGGCCCTGGTGCAACGTAGTAGGCACTTCACACTAGTGAGGTACTGAGGCTAGAAGTAGCTTCCACTAGCTTATGAGAGCAAACTGTTCAATTTCTAGAAATGTCGTGAACCTGTTACTAAACTATCAGTAGCTTGAAGTCATCTGTGTGGGAGTATTTACACCATAGAAATTGGCAAGGGCTATGAACCAGGGCTCTCCCTATCCCATACTGAGTATCACTTAATCAGCATACCAGTGTATTTGACCCATTATATCCATGGATGGTGGCAACTTAGGGTACAAAGTGCAGGGCTGACAAGAGGGACCCATGGGGTTGGTTAAATTGGTTTATCACAGGACTAGCAGTTGGCGTAATGGCTGTGTCCCTGGACTCCTATATAGTCGACTGTGGTTCGAGTCCCGGACCCGGTGGCTTAAACTCATGCCAGGCGCGTGTGCATGTGTGTGTGCCCAAGATCCCAAGAAGAGAATGGAGGAGAAGGGATTGTGGTGTGGCCATCCCCCCAGGGGGTGATTTCTCACTTTTTATCTCTGTCTCTATCTGTCTGTCTGGCAAGTGTATGTGCTGTAAAGCAAAAACCTCTCCAAATAAAAAAAAGGTTTATCACAAAGGACAGGCTATTCCCTAAACTTAACCAGATGACCCTTCAGTCTTGCAGAGGACTCATCCCCAAGGCCAGCCATATGCTGATAGCTGTGACCTCTCTGCCTCCTCACCCAGACCTAACTCAACTTCAAATCCAACTGTTATTTCAGCCCCAGAGTCAGCTGCCATTGTCTGACCCAGACCTTTATGCAGTTAAGACTCCAATCCGAGCTCAGGGTCAAGGTTTGGACTCACCCCAGCCCCATCTTCCTGCAGGTCCTATGTCTATGCCGGCTTGGAGGCGGGTGCAGAGTGCTACTGTGGAAACCGACTTCCAGCAATGCGTGTCGGGCTGGAGGAGTGTAACCATGAGTGCAAAGGGGACAAAGGCTCCGTGTGTGGGGCCGTGGGCCGGCTGTCCGTGTACCATGTGGAGGAGCTGCAGCCAGGCTCCAGGAAGCGTGAGTGCCACCATCTCCCTGCACTTGGTCTGTCTCATGTGCTCCAGCTGCCCCTCATCCACAGCCCCTCAACCACCACATGGCTGGGACCTCCCTTCCCTATTACCCTCACTAGATAGGCTCTGCACGGTGGGGAGTGGGACAAAGGGCTCCCTTGCCTTCTGCAGGAGAGAGAGACTGATTGGGAAGCCTAAGACCTAGGCCTCCTTCAGACATGCTGTGTGGCCTCAGGCAGCATAACTCCCCTCTCTGCATTTCAGTCCATTTTGAAATTATGGAGGCCGAGGGAGATTTATCACAGTAAGGCAGACCAGGTCAGCTGAAAGTTCTCTAGATACGAAATGCTGGATACAACTTAGTAAGCGTTATTTTACATGCATAATGCACTAGCAGGGAGTAAGGCAATCCCTGTCCAGAAATAAATTTGGAATGAAGAACCACTGTGGTGAGAATAAGAGGTGTCACTGGGCAGCCCTGGTCTCAGCAGAGGGAACTTGTCAGTCTTGGTGGTCACTAGATTTAGGTTTCAGTGTCCAAGTAGGATGGAAAAGAAGGACTAGGGCCTCCCAGGGGAATTGGACAGAGCCTTCTATATGAAGTGGAATTCAATTTCACTGAAGCATACATCAGTGAAAGTTTAGGTTTGAAAAAAAAGAACCTACCGGTTCAGGGAGATAGAAACAAATTCATGTGTTTTGACCTGAGCTTCAAGTGAAAAAAAAAAAAAAAAAAAAAAAAGTAATCCTGAGAATTTGTAGCCACAGGACTGCTTTTGTATGGTTTTTTGAGTTCAAATTTGTATTATCTGCCTGAAAGATCCAACGAAAGGTTAGCTCTGGGCCATTTACAGGTACCTGGCAAAGGCACATGCAAAAATCTCTCTTGAGAGCTATGCCATCATCTGAGGTGCAAAAGATTCTCATAGGTAAATCCTCACAGAATACTGAGCTTATAATTCAAAATGTAGAACTTTTTTAATAAATAGCCATGAGGGAGAGTAAACGGATACATCGAGCAGGAAGGTGGGCCTCCCAAGAATTTCAACTAAGCGTGCCATGAAAAGTGGTGACAACTGAGGAGGCCCAGTTAGATGGGTTTGAAACTTAGGTTTGTCCTCATCGCAAGATAATCGAGCCTCGGGTCCGCTTAGTCGGATTACCAAAGGCTCCTTTATGAAATAATCGCATTGCGCACATCTGCACCATTCTTTTCAGGAACGGGAGGGGCCAAGCTGGGGAGAAGTCAGAGTTTGGGAGGAGTTCCCCCACCACTGGCAAGAGGGACACAGCAGATGATGGGGGTGAAGGCACATGGATTCATGGACACAGTGCCTCTGGCCATGGTCCTAGTGACAGGGCTGCAGAAGAACTGATGGATGAGTTCAAGAGTGGGGCAGAGCTCGGGGACAGAGGGCTCAGATCCAAAGCTAAGACTTCTGAGTGTTTCTGGGAGGACCCTTCCAGCAAGAAGTGAGTTTTCCAAGCAGTACAGAAACTCAGCTGTGAGAACGGTGGGTAAGCCATAGGGTCAACCTTGGCCAGCACCGTATATGGGTCACAGTGCTAGGGAGAACAACTCCATGTTTAGAGCTTCTTAGGTTATGTCTTACATGTGTCTGGGAGCCATGGGCCAAGAGGGACAAGACTGGAGACACCGATGACATGCTCTTTAGCTTAAGGATTCATTAATGAGGCCATTAGATCACCAGATACTCATCGAGGCCTACTCTGTGTCAGACCGCAACCTGGCAGGGAGATTTGCCGTGATACATGAGCAGGGTCCTGCCCTGTCACCTGGGCATCTGGAGAGGCTTCCTGAGGACCTTGCTATCCCACACTATTTTCTCGGGTCTTTTGTTTCTTTGGGTTCAAACAGCAGCCCTGCTCCTCCCCAGTAGGGCCAAGTTGATATGTGTGCTCTGGACTGCACTCCTGCCCATTCAGTAACTGAAACTTGGAGACAGTTGTTTTGCTCCCCCTTGCCCATTGGTTAAGGGACAGATGGTCCAATCATTCACGCCAGCCCCAGATCTCGAGTCGGCTAGACCTGCTGTCACGGTTAATGTTAAAAACAGTGTCCAGCTACCCCTTTAGGCAGCCTGGGTAGCCCTGTGCAGTTGACCTTTGCCTTCTCACCCCCTTCTGAAAGGAATAAGCTGACAGGATCTCTGTCAAGAGGTGACCAGGTGACCACCTTCGTGAATTGCTGCTCTGGCTCGTGAGGAGCATTCACAAGGAATAAGGCCTGTGAGTGTGCTCCACAGTGGGGATGAGAAGTTCGTCCTGAGACGTTCGTTCATTCTTCACCTTGGGATGTCACTCTGCCCTAATGGCAGCATGGGCTTTCGCCGGGGGGGCTGAGGGAGGTGGGGGTGGAATTCGTCCTGAGACGTTCGTTCATTCTTCACCTCGGGATGTCACTCTGCCCTAATGACAGCATGGGCTTTCGCCGGGGGGCTGAGGGAGGTGGGGGTAGGCCACACTAGGTTACACCCTGTTCCCTGACGGTGGCATCAGTGAAGTACAGAGGCGGCTGGTGCTGCCTCCTCCAGGAGCTCGCATACTGCTCACCTGTTGCCGTGTATACAGCGCCCTGTGCTTCAGCTCATTCGTTGACTCAGCACTTGCTGGGCACCTGCCGTGTGTCAGGGTCACAGCTGGCGTGGGAGCAGGGGTGACCTGGATGTAGCCTCCCTCTAGGAACTCTGCTCTGGGGGCCTCATGGCCCCTTGCTGTCCCTCCTTGTTGGGCACTGTACTCTCTCTGTGTAGTGTCTGTCCACTGACTCTCCCCTGGCCAAGTGTCCCTGAGCCTGTCCCCCCAGCATCTGTCCCAGCACCCATCCCTAGATGTTTGTTCCTTGGGGACCCGGTCATGCCACAGGGTTGGAAAGAGTTCTGTGGGCCCAGCACAGCCATCCTCCGTGGCCTTCACACCAAAAGCCAGGGCAGGCACGTGATTGAAGGGACACGAAGCCCCATCTGGGATGGCACATGAGTGCCTGTGCTCCTCTAGCAGCTACAGGACTAGGCAGCATGTGGGAGGGGAAACAAAGAACCCCCGGTCCATGACGTGCCAGCATTTCAGAGCTCCTTGCTGCCAGTGCCTGAACCAGGCACCTAGGACTCTAAACCCAGGCCGTTTTCCCTGCAGCAGCTGCTTTCCTGTGACTGCGGCCTAATAGGTCTAGGCCCTGATATCCAGACCATGGTACTGTGGGCTGGGCTTCCAGCTCCAGGGTTTAGTCCTGCTTGGCAATTCTACGCAGAGAGAGACCCCCTTCCCACCGTCCATGGTGTCTCTCGCTGGCAGCAGGGTTTCTGCCACTGGCAAGGAGACATGGCAGGTGGACAGAGCTGGGAGAGATGCTGAGTTCTGGGAGGTCTTGTGTTGAAAGGAACACAGATGAGAACCAAGATGCCATCTAGAGATGCTCTGAGGAGTCTGGAAGAAATACAAGCAGTTGGTGCCAGGATATTCCAGAAGGTTCGTTCGGCACCAAGGAAACCAACTAGGAAGATGGACTTTTCCACCAGAAGGTCTGGAGAAGAACTTGGCAGGAGGCTTCCTTTGTAACACGGGCTTGAAGAGTATTCCTAGAATTTAGGTGGGAGTTCAAGATCAGAGCGAGGCAAACCTTGCAAAGAAGCAAAGGAGGGGGGTGTAACTCCTGCAGCACAGCAAGAGGGAACGTGGCAGGACTTCAGGTTTCTGTATCTACTTTTCTTTGAATGTATGCTCTGGGAGGACATAGAATTTTCCATAATATCAGCCTCTTGGGTCACCCCCTACAGAACCTGGCACATAGTAAATGCGTGATTCAGATTGATTGAAGGAAGGAAGGGAGGGAGAGATGGAGGAAGAAACCCAAGAAGGAAGGGCAGGTGGACAGACCAGACAGACACCGTTCTGGAAAACCGATGGGAATAGCCAGGCTTGAGCTCAACGGTGTCAGCCAAGTGGTCACTTGTGGGTGACCTTGGGTGGTCAAGGTCCTGATGCCTGATTTTTCTCAGGAACTTGGCTGTCCTTCACCCCATCCAGGGCAGTGTGTCCCCTCTAATATGAAATCTACTCTCTTGAGTGTGTTTATACCTGTCAGGATTTATCTTGGGATCAAAGCCGGTATTTTCCTTGTGACCAACAACCGTGAGCACCCTTTCTTATTAGAAATCCATTTCCTTCCCCACAGGGAGGACGGCCGCCTACCGGGGGTGCTTCCGACTGCCAGAGAACATCACACATGCCTTCCCAGACTCCCTGATACAGGCCAATGTGACCGTGGAGACATGCTCAGGATTTTGTTCTCAGAAAGTAAGCCCAATTATCATCTTACACCCCTTTCCTTGAACAATCCACAGAGGGCTGGACACCTGTGCTGGGCTGTGGACGTCCACTCGGCAGTCCAGGCGGTAGGCAGTTCCAGAGGGAGGCGTGGGAAGGAGGCAGGCCACACACTGGCCATCACAGGGTGCCAGCAGAGTCCATAGGCAATGACAGCGATTCGAGGCCGGGTGGGGAGTTGTCAGCGCGCGTTGTAAAGCTGAAAGGAGCATGCCTTTCCAAATGCGAGCTCTTGGCACAAGTGTCAGATGTTAAATTGACTTGGTTTAGAAGCAAGAAGCTGCTGGCTTGGGAGTTGGAGCTGGCTGATGGATTTTCTGTTATTTGCGCTGACAGTGTGGGGCCGTGAAACTGACTATAGGAGCTGAAGTCACACCGGCGCCTTTGCTTTAGGTCAGGCCAAAGAGCGGAGTATGACTCTGCGCGAGGGCTGGACTGGGTACCAAAGGCCACTGTCCTTGCCTTGCAGGCTAGCTCCTAGGTGGGGAGAGTTGATCAAGGCCAGACGGGGCGTGCAAAAGGCAAAGCTCGAGTGTGTGGCGAGACTGGGGAGACCCAGCAGCCGGTGTTAAAGAACATTGAGGTGGAGTCCAGTGGGCTCCAGATCTGGATGGATGCTGTGATTCTAGACATGGTCCTAGGCTGCAGTAGGCTGAGGCCGGGCCTGCGTCAGATGTGCCGGGGTTCAGAAGCCTTGCTGCGGCGGAGGAATTTGACAGGGTAGTAGAACAGAGCTAAGGAGACAGGAGGGCCTGGGTGATGAGGGGGAGGAGAAAGATTATCAATAGAAGCTAACATTTACTGATGACTGATTCCATGCCAGGTACCGTTCTGAGCACTTCCCATGTGTTAACTCATTTAATCCTCATAAGCGCTCCACAGGATACTATTACCTGCATGTTGCAGATGAGGAAACTGAGGCAGAGAACTGAAGCCATAGGCTTGAGGTCCCATAGGCGTAAGTGGTAGAGCCAGGACTTGAACTTGGTCAGCTTCATCGCCTGCTGGTGGTGTGAAGGTGCTGGGGTGAGCTTCAGTGAAAGCAGATGTGATTAGGCGTAAGGTAGCATATCTTCCACTGCTTGCCCCACCCTGGCAGCTGTCTTCTCCTGTTTCCTGTGTTCCTCAGCTCCCTGGAGATGGCTTCTCTGGGAGAGTGAATGGAGAACAAAACCTTTTACACACGTTTCCCTCTTGCTCAAGTGCATCCTTTGAAGTGGCTCTCCTGCGTCACCGGCATTTCCAAAGCCACTGCCAAGGATGTCTCAGGCGTCAGGACACAATGCAGTGAACCGAGAAGCATTTTATTGATTTGCAGGCATCTGGCCTGGGGACCTCTTCTTCCCGCTCCCCCTCATGGGAACAGCTACGGGTAGAGGCAGCGAGGATGCCTGCCCAGCTTCCTGTTCCTACATGTGCACGCAAAGGGACAAGCCACCTTCCAGAGCTTCCCTTGCACCTGCAGTTCAGAACAGTTCCCTGGAGAGACTCCCCCACCCCCATCAAATCCTAACATTAATCCCGACCTGGCTGAAGGCAGGCTTCCCAAAGTCAGCAAACTCGGAGTTGACCTGCCATGTGCTGGGCACTGGAGCCCTTCCAGGGTGTCGGCTTTAATCTGCCCAGTAGTTCCACAAAGGGAGAGATTCAGATTTAGTTTGCAGAGGTGAGAGCATTCCCACTTAGGAGGGCAGAGTGACCAGCTTTACAACCTTGGCTCCTGACACTCCAGCCTGAGCTTTTACACGCTGCCACCTCTGGGTGTGACAGAGGCAAGGAAAGAGGGATGAGGAGAGAGATGAGAAGAAACAGGGAGGACAGGGAGGGGCCACCATCACAGTGGTGTGCCCTGGGCAGTTCAGATTAGTTTCAGATGGGTAGTGTATTCATATGGAACACAGTAAAACGGTACCAAAGGTATAGAGGGGAAGGCTTCCTCCCATGTCTTTTCTACCGAGTTTCCTTCCTTGAAGGCAGCTGATAGTCCTGCTTCTCATGGCCACTTTCAGAGTAACTCTGAATATTCCAGCAATTGCATCCTGGTCTGTTTCATTAAAGGCCACTTCCCACCCCCCACAGCCTGGAGAGTAATGATCCGCACAGTATTCTGAACTGACTCCACTGGGCAGTCTGTCTTGGAGATGGTCCTGTATCGTACAGAAAGCGCTTTCTCATTCTTTTTTCCCATTACATGGATGTCCTATCATTTATTTAACCAGTCCCCTACTGTTAAGCATTTAGGTTGTTTCTATTCTTCTGCTTTTACAAACAGTGCTGCAATAACTACCCTTGTATACATATGTAGGTCATTTTGTGTGAGTGAATCTGTAAGAAAAAAAAAAACTCCTAGGAGATGCTGGGTCAAAGATTGTACGCCTTTGTCCTCGTGGTCAGCTTTGCCAAGTTCCCTTGACGAGGGCTGTACTAGTTTTACACACTTTCCAGCGATGTGTACGGAGAATATGTAGGTCATTTTGTGTGAGTGAATCTGTAAGAAAAAAAAAAAACTCCTAGGAGATGCTGGGTCAAAGATTGTACGCCTTTGTCCTCGTGGTCAGCTTTGCCAAGTTCCCTTGACGAGGGCTGTACTAGTTTTACACACTTTCCAGCGATGTGTACGGAGAAAACAAGCCATGTGTGTAATCCTTCTTTTGTAGAGGATGGATTCCAGGCAGCATCCTAGACAAAGGCCCCGATATTCGGGGGGGGGTACCTTCCCTTGGGCAGTCCATTAAGAACTAGCGTCCTACCCTGTGGTTACAGACGGGAAATTTAAAGATTTAAAACCTCTTCAACTTCTAATTTTAGCTTTTCTTCATATTTACTGGTACAAATCCAAGTTGCTGCAATTTCTCGTTGATGCATGTGTCAAAAGATATCCACGGTATCTCCTGCTGTTCTCTGCACCTTGTCTGTGCACAGTGCGTCTCAAGGACAGGTGTCTCCCCAGCTCTGGCTGGTGTGACTGGAGTCCTCCAGGTCAGAACAAATAGGAAACGGTGGCCACGGTTCTCATAAAGGCCTTTGCCCTGGGAGCACTCAGCCTTGCAGTCTGTGCTGACACCTGTCCCTTGTCCCAGTCTCCCCCGTGTTGTGTGGTCATACGGAGCTGGAAGGGTGGCGTTTCCTTGAGTCCCATTGTGTAGGGCTAAAGGCTTTTGCAGCTGTGAGGAACAGTCACCGTTTCCTTTGAAAGTCAAAAGCAGGCCGTGGCAGATCCATGGGGAGCCCAACGCTGTTGGGTGGATGATGGTGTTACTAGCAGTGTGATGTCTGTGACGTTCAGGGCTTTGTTCTTGCCCAGCCTGGAATTTCTAACTCCAGAACCAGGCCATAGGTCGACTTCTGTGACAAAACACATTTAGTGAGATTTGACAAAACACACACTTCCGGTGGGTAAAGCCATGTACTGGGTGCCAATAGAGGCCTGATACAAGGTCCCTCATAAAGCAGAGCTCCCAGCCAGGGAGGGACTGAGACAGAAACAAGCGATTGGGACTTGGCCACTTAAAGCCAGTGCCTGAAGTGGTGAAGGAAGTTTGGAGGGAGGCTTCGAAGGGAAGAGGACTGCAACTGTTTGGAAGGGTTGGAGCTGGGGCCGTCAGTCGGCAGACAGACAAGGGCAGTGGGAAGTGCAGTCAGTCAGCCGGCGGACAAGGGTAGTGGAGAGTTTATTCCAAGAGGAGGCAACTACTGAGCAGGCCTAGGTAGTGAGAAAGCAGCCCAGTCTGCCCAGGTGGAAGATTATGTGGGGTGGTGGGAAGTTAGGGTGGGATCAAATTCACAGGGCTATGGATGACGGCTTCAAACCTCAGGCTTCTTTCATTGAGTAAGAGGGAGCTATGGAAGGTATGGTAGGAAGGGAGGGGTGTGAGTTTCGTGGCTCTGTATGCTGTAGTTAGGTGCTCTAGGGCAGGGAAAGAAAGAAAGCTGATAAAGGAGGAAATAGGTCTGAGAGATGCTACAGAGCCAGAACCATACGTGAGGATGGCAGGTGGGATGCAAAGGAAGGAGAAGAGGGGCCAGCCCAGAGGATGATGAGCCATGGGTATTAGTTAGGAGATGGTAGGGAGTAGACCTGGCTGGTGGGGGAGAGGCATTTTCTACAGATCCTTCTGGGAAGCAGCATTCCCCAGGGTCACCTCCAAGATGTCACCTAGCCTATGGGTTTGTTTTTTGGTTTTTTGTTTTTGTTTTTGTTTTTTGGGTGATTTAATGCAATGAAGTTTTTTTTTCTTTTTAAATTTTTATTATTTCAATTTCTTTTATACATTCAATCACGTTACTTAGCTTGCAAAGTGAAAATTCCAACATGTGTACATTTCACAAGGGTCCAATTGACAGTACTATAAGGTTATCCTTCAACAGATAATAACCCATTTCTTTGTCCCATAAATGCCTTGCTTCTCTCTTTTTCTCTTTAATGTCCTTCCTCAGACTCTACTCTTTCACCCTCCCTCTTACCACCCTGTATCTGATATTCACAACCATTTACTATGTTTCTATATCCTTTAGTCATTCAGTTTGGGCCAATCAGTATATATTAAGTGGAGTGTGGACAATTAGTATATATTAAGTGGAGACATACCATGTTTCTCTTTCATAGCCTGGCTTCCTTCACTCAGCAGTAAATCTTTCATATTCCTCAACCCCATTCATTGTATTCTGCCATAGAAGCTGGCCTGAGACCTGTTTCTGGAGTTAAGGATTCCAGGCAGTAAGAATGAGCCCTGGACATCACACATCTAACTAAAAACACCATCCACGCAACTGAGGGAACCTTAGGTTCCCAGCCGTCTGTCTGCTCTCCCTGGTCTCTCCCTTGAATGTTGGTATAACTTGAACTCATGCCGTTCTCCCTGTTAGCCCCTCAGCTCCCAGCTCTGCAGGTTCTTGGTGGGGGCTTGGCCGGCATCCTGACTTCACCCCACACCGTAGCAGGTGTGGCACCCACAGCAGGGCTTCTCAAC